TTATATATTAGAAAAATATTATGCGGTATATACATTTATATATAGTTATTATGTTTGATTGAGTGTTAGTGCTGTTGTTGTCGTTCGTCGTATGTAGTTTTTAGTAGTAGTGGAGTATGCAGAAGAACGAGTAATTGTGTTAACATGTATATGTTTTTGTATAGTGTGTGTGTTGTGTGGTGTGTAGTATGTGTAGGTCTGAGTTTGTGTGTGTGTGGTTATCTCGCTGTCGTGCTGTGTTGACGTGTGCTCGTGTCCGAATAGAATGAGTGATGTTGTGTGGCCATATTTTATAGAGATGGAGTGATAGAGAGTTGGAGAGGAAGAGCAAGAAGAGGCTAGTACGAGAGGAGGCAGAGACGAGCACGAGGAGTGAGATGAGGAGAGATTGAGTAGATAGAAGTGCATTGGAGGAGGCAGTGAGAGAAAGAGAGAGAGAGAAGAGAGAGAGAGAGAGGATGAGAGAGAAGAAGAGAGGAGGAGAGAAAGAGAGTAGATGAAGAGTAGAGCTGGAAGAGAGAGAGAAGCGTCAGAGACGAGGAGGCCATAAGAAGATAGAGAGATACCATAGACAAACAGACAGGAGAGGGCAGGGAAAATATAAAGTCGTTTTATGAAATTCTATTATCATATCGGAAAAAGTGCGGCCAGATGCGTAACCGATGAAGGGATATTGAATAATTGTCGCTTGAAGTAGAGAGGGGAGAATAAGAGATGTAGAAGAGGGAACAGAGAGAGGAAATTATCATGGAGGGAGGAAGAAGAGAGAAGAGCCCATGACACGGAAATATGAAGATAGAATATTTCAGACAGTAAAGAAGAGAAGTAGAGAGGTGTGAAGGAGGGAGCTGTAGAGAAGAGAGGGAGAAGAGAGAGACTAGAAAAGAAGTAACTGTATGAGAGACATACAGTAATAGACTAAAAGAGAAGCACATGACGCAGAACAGAAAAGATATGACATGAGATGGAAGGGAGTAGAGAGAGTTAGGAGTAAGTATAGATGTATGAGATAGAGAATAGAGAGCGAACGGGACGACAGACTAGAAGATAAAATAGTTGAGAGTGGATGAGGCCAAGACAGTCAGAGGGAGCGAGAAGAGGTAGCTGCTAGGAGTAGATGAGACTCGAATGAAGAGACGAGCGCAAGAGATGTAGATGAGAAGAGAGAGAGAGAGAGAGAATGAGATGAGAGAGAAAGAAGGCAGAGAGGTGAGAAAGCGACGAGAAGTATGAAGGACAGAGGCCAGGAAGGAGAGAGAGAAGAGAGAGCGAAGTGGAGAGAGGTTTGGCCGGGAGTCGTGAGAATAGGAAGTTACACAGATAGAGCCAGAGTACAGGAACACATGAGAGAGGAGAGAAGCATGCTTGAGAGGACGAGTGGGTAGTAGAGGGCGATGTATGAAATGAGTGAACATGATTGATAGATGCTGTGATCGCTGTTGGAAATGAGAGACGAAACGAAGAAAAGAGAAGTCATAGAAGCATAGCACAACATAACCAGACGAGACACACACACACACCAGCTACACACACACACTAACACACCACACACGACACGTAGAGGAGAGAGGAGAGAGTAGAGAAGAGAGAGAGAGAGAGCAGAGAGATGAGAGAGAGAGAGAGAAGAGAGAGTAGGCAGAGAGAGTATGAGAGAGAATGCAAGAGAGGAGAAGGCCAACGATCTCATTTCGAGAGAATCACTAGACAATTAGAAGAGAGAGGTCACAGAGTACAGTAATTGAGCTCACAGAGAAGAGTAGTATGCACAGACAAGACGAGGAGGATGAAAGTGATATTATATTAACGAAAACAATAGGGCTGAGTGAAGTCTGTTCTTTTGGTAAATTGCATGACATGCAGCATGTTACGGACATTGAGAAAGATTATACTGAAAACGTTTAAGATTACGATTACAGAATCGGATGCACGGCTTGCACGGGGCATGAACGACTGCTATTGACCTTGATATTACGTTTTTACTCTATCATCTGACAACTGACATATACCTTTGTGTTAAATCACAAAGGTATTAAGATATCTAATATTGACAAAAGACACGCATACATACACAAATATATGCATGTATGTATATTTGTGTCATATGTCTGTACCTGTGTGTGTAATGTGCATGTAAAAAGGGGGCACGTATCTACTTCAATGATACATTTTCCTAGCAGTAAGAATCACACATGAAAAAGCAGAAGGCAGCGTCACTGTCTCACCACAACACAACCAGATACATCGCCGACACTCCCGCTTCTTCGGAGAACTAAACCACAACTAAGTCCTCCCACACACACCTGGAACGTTACTACCGCCGTCACGTGGTTTGCAGAGCTACCGTGTGTAAGCACCGCCTCCTTTTTCCTGTTGACCCGCTATGCTCCGCCCACACACCGCCCGCTGGGTCCTCCCACGCCAGCTGGTACTTGATATGCTGGCGGTGGAAGGCTGCTCATATTTTCGTTACGATTATTTTGGTATCTACAGTTTGATCTTA